CTGGATGAAGCTTCCATAGATATATGGTCATCTTGCTCTGAACAATCCCCCATGTCTGGAACAAAGTCAGCATCCTCACTGCCTTGGGATAAGATTTCATCAGTGGATGTGTTGCTGTCATCCCCAGCTACCTGTGCAAGACAGGCTTCAGCACTGAATATGCGCTACCTTCTCATCCTGGACTGCAGAAAAAAAAGAAAAAATTGATTACTGCTGAATGCATATAAATAACAATCAAAGACAAGCTTGTCCACCTTTGCTGTCACAGAAGCAATTCTGCCCTGTCCTATGGCAGTGCATGTAGTGCCCTCTCCTCCAGGCACAGAAGCCAGAGACCAGCATCATCCACCCTCTGCAGGCAAGCTATATGTGGGAGGATGCTGTTTGGAAACAACACATGCAGGGGCTTATTGAGAGCAGGTAAAAGGGGCATGGTGGGTGTCAAGCCATTACCGTTGAAGGGGATTCCATAGTGTATGCTGTATTGCAGTATGATGTTCTATTTCTTCTCTGCTGTACATTTGCTCCTAGTCCTCACTTCCAGCAAAGGCAGGGCAAACTAACTTGTATGTTATGAAAGTGGCAGCTGAAGTGGAGTGTTGCCATGAGAAAAGAGAGCAGAGGTGGATTTGGGTATGACAAAGGGTTTCTTTTTTTTTTGGCAAAGGTCAGGGTGTTTTGATGACCTTGAAGCCTGCAGACAAAAGTGATTAGCAAAAGGGATTACCACATCTTCTGCAAAAACAGAGTAGAGGATGGCCATTCATTAGTTACCATGGATACCTGAAGTGGACATGAATGAGGTGTGAATGAATGGTGACCTTCCAGATGCATCCACCCAAAGTGGCCAAACAGGTCTAGGCCTGTCATTTATGCAGAAATTGCATTGGGGTAACCCCAGTGAGTTAACATGGGCTTGGGGTAAGTTGTTACCCCATATGGAAAAACACATTCACACCTGTGGTATTACCCTGGGCAGTTTTTCATCCACAGAGAGCAAACCATTTGTGTAAGCTAGCTGTTCTTTGGGGATATTGTGCACTGTGGTGCCAGTGACAATGTCCTAAAAAGCAACATGTTTAGAATTAATTAACTTTAAAATACTGCACAAAATATGCCTCTGGGGTAGGAAATTACCCCATGGGAATGTATGAAGGTTAAGCAAAGCCCTTGAGCATGTTAGCAGTTCCTTTGTCTTCAATGGTACTGTGCCAGGTGCTTGAAGTTAAAGGGGTTTTTTTTGTAGGAATTGATCCAAGTCCATGATGCTGCTGTTAAAGTAGATTGCTGCAGCCTAAGTAACTTTCTGTAGAATTCCCACAAACTTCTTCAGACCTACTTTGAGCTGACAACATTATGTCCCTTTTAATTTTTAAGGGAAGGTGCAATTGTTTCCAGTATGTATATACATCAGGTTAACTAGGTACCGACCCTTACTTTCTGGTTAGCATCTTTTGTCGCAGGAGAAACCCTGCCTTTGGCCCACTTCCTCAGACCCTAAGCTGACAGAAACCGGAAATGACATTGATTCATTGTAGTTAAGTCTTGCTAAGGAATAACACACCTTGATATTCAGAAACACTCTCTGTAGCAGAGCAAGGAAGAGCACTGATTGGCTTAAAATGGAGTCCCAGTCAGCTCCCTGGGACTAGGGACTGTAGGGGTAACTACATCCTCACTCCCAGATCCCCCCCAGGACAGGCAGAGTGCCCACAGAAGTAGCAGCTGTGGGCCTTTAAGTCTGTGAAACAGGTAAGAATTCCTCACCCTCCCTTCCCCTCCATGCTCAGTGGCATGTGCCTTCCCTTCCCCTCCCATTCCTCCCACCTGCTGCTGCCTCTGTTGTCCCTGGCTCCCCAGGGGTGGGGGAAGCTCCAAAGCGGATCCCCTCTGCTCCAGCCAGGCTGCATAGGGAAATCCTTAACTGCTGCTCCCGTAACATGGTCTGAAACTGGGGTGTAACTGCACCTCTGCACCACTGCACCCCCTGGTCATAGCTTTTTTAATGAAAGCTAAATTATGCAGAGGATTCCTAAAATTTTCCAGAAGGCCAGACATCTCCTAAATAGACTGTGGTTAAGTGCACACAGTTTTCCCATGCCCCCTGGACAACAGGCTTATTTGTACTTTTAGGTTTTCCCTTTCCCTGCTGCTGTTCCTCTTTTTCTTCTTTTCCCTTTTCTCACCCATTCAAACAATTTAGCTGAGTCAGGGTGGACCCATGATTTCCCAAAGGTGGGTGTGGAAGCAATAAACCATACTGCAGGCAGGGGTGGTTTCACCTCTTGCTCCCAGCCTCCTCCACCCCCACCAGCATGGGCCAAATGCCCTGCAGGAACCTCTGGAGACATTTTAAGCTCCTAAAGCAAGTAAAAATGCTCCCTCCCTTCCACTTCCTCCTTAGAGGCATGCTCTACTCCTTCCTCTTTTTCCTCCCCCCTCCCCTGCCTGCAGATATGGCTTTCTCCACTGTTCAGAGTTGGAGAAGGTCCAGAGCTATCTGGGCTGGGCTTAGCTGGGGAGGGAACAGTAGCAACAGGGTGTCTGGAGAGTAGTTACCCTCCACCCTGCCTGGCCTCAGCAGAAGCACAGGGAAGGGTAACCTCCAGCCATCCCTGATGCTGTTGGTCCCCATGCCCGGCTGAGCCCAAGCTCCATGCAGCAGGCAGGAATGGCTCTGGTGCTTCCCCACCCCCCAGTGGGGACAGGCAGGCTGGGGGTGCAGGGAAGGGGTGTGACTTTGAATAGGAAGGGGAAAGGAGAGAGTATTTTCACCTACTTTAGGGACTTTAACAAGTTCCCAGAGGCTCCTGTAAAGTAGTCCAGTCCAAAAGGAGGGTATAGCTATGCCACTGCACCACCTCTGGATCCACCCCTGACCTGAGTATATTTGTACTTGATAGTGAATGGCCTTTTTAAACAGACCTAGAGAGCTTCACAGACTTTACAGCCCTACCAAACTAGGTACATAATTTCATACTCAACAGTATTCAGATTAAATTTGTGCACCATGTTTTATTATTTGTAAACCCAAATGCCAGACCTGTACTGACTGAAATTAATCCATTGCGGCATTATATTAAACCAATAGCATATTTGAAAGAGTAAGTAATAAATCATCTGATCTGTTGAAAATGTTGTGAAATGGAGGTATTAAACAACTGTGAAATAGATTCTATATCAGTTGTGTGGTTAAAAAAATAGCATCTGTAATGAGACAGTCTGGAGGATTTTTATTTCTCTGGGAGTGAGAGAAGGTACACACTGCTGCAATCCCCTTTTCCTGTGTAAGGCAGTGGAGCCAGGGATCTGCCCGCCCCATCCTTTTCCTTTATCTCTTTATAGCCTTTAGAATATATGACAACTCAAGGAATAAATGGGGAGCAGGAGTCACACCACTCTGCACCTGTACCCTTTGCTCCATAAACTGGAAGAATAACCTCTCTGGGGTACAGCCCTTATCTTTGTTCCATCTGTCCACTGTGTAGCCCTGCAGCATTCTGACTCCTCATTGAAGCTCCTAGGCAATGCTGTAACACAGATGAAAACCACCCATGATAATAAGTGGATTCTACAGCAATAGTAGAAGTGAGCCACCAGTGCCTTCTTCCTGCTGGATCTAGAAGAAATTGTTGTTAGGTTTTTCTGTCATGGACTTACTAGTGAAGTGGAGGATTACCTCACATTAGGTGTTGAGACTTGCTGCCAAAGACAGGAGAGCAGTTGTTAGCTATCCTACCCTGTGCATGTGCAACTGGAAGAAACTAAGCAGGTTTTATAGTTAAAGAAATATAAATCTATAGTCTGTTAGTGTTAGTGAAGATAGACTCTGAATTTATAACCATGCAGCAGAAAGCCAGAAATTCTCCTCTACCTGTCTTTCTGATGGAACTACATCTTGTCAACACATTAGTTTTGATACGTTATTCCTCCCTACGGTTTGAGACAGAGTGCTATAAATCCTTGTTAAAAATTAGACAAGCCAATGAAAGGGTTTTAGGCTTCTCAGCTTTTGGTAAAAAGCAGAGTGCAAAATAACATGGAGAAAAAATGGTTCTATTTTACGGAATCTATAAGTGAAAACATAAATAAGACAATATAAATGAGTATACTTAAGATTTTAATATAAATTTTAAGCAATTGTGGTTCTATTTAAATTTCCATCTGGGAAAAACCATCCCACCAAGTATCCCAAGTATGCCTTGTTGTAAAATAAAATGATTACAATCATGTCCTATGAATTATGTTGTTGAACTACATATTTCTGGTTTCCTTACACATGCATGCAAATATATATGCACCTACACATAAGGTGACACGCGGGTTGGTGTAATTGTAAGCCACAGCTGTTCTTCTTAATACTATTCTAAATATGTGAATAAAATTGATTTTCAGAAATAAATTAGATACATGTTAGGACTGATTTAGCTAATGATAAAATAAATTGACTTAGAGGAAAGTGATTTGGATGGATGTTGATGAAGCAGGGAGACTAGATCTTTGCCGTCTCTTGAGACAAATTACTTTCACATCACTCTATCAAAACTGATGTTTGGCCACATCCAGATGAACGTGGAAGTTTGGTTTCCCAGGGAAAACTAGCAGCAGCACACTTTATGCTGCTGCTAGTTGTCCCCAGGGAATCCCCATACTACGTGCCCTCTGGCACATGGCAGGTTACCCCAAGTGGGGTAGGAGAGGTGGGGGTCAGCAACTCTTCTGGCCCCAGCAGCCTTACCTGGGGGCCAGGGAAGCCACAGGTACAGTGCTCCTGCAGTTTGGAGCCTGGCTGGCAGCTGAAGTGTGGCTCTGTCCAGCCAGGCTCTGGTTTTGGGCGACGCATGCTGCCTCCACATGCGCCACCCCACTTTTTTTCTGCATGTTTTTTTTTACCTCTGGATCTTCAGGGCCTAAACATTCAACTTAAAAGTTATGCAGGGGTACCTGGAATCTGTGAATGTTGAGAACCACTGGCTTAAAGGAACAATATTAACTTTGAACAAACAGACACTTATAGGGCCTGGAGGAAACCATTATGGCTAAAAGGCAAAGTTCAAGAGGCTGATGGAGCCAATAGAAATCCTGCAAAATTCAGCCATCTAATCCTAGTAAAGTCAGTTAAAAGGAATATCAATTACAGGACTCAGGTAAGCCAGAGGAAAAGGCCAATGGGAATTTCACAGTGTCCCAGGGGAATGAAGACGAGGACACGAGGGACCCTCCCTGTGGCAGGAATGAGGGTGGGGACAACCTGACCCCACAAAGTAAGCGTTGAAGAAAGGTCAAAATTACCTGTTACAGGGGCACAACAGAACGCCCATGCAGTTCACCAGCCAACTTTATTTCCGGATGAAAGCGATGCCAGCAGATGATGTCATCGTCAAATGCTGCCCGACTGAAGTAAAAGCTGGTGGCAAAGGAGAAACAGGGGAGGTACAGCCAAAGGCAAGTGGCAAGGTTGCCTCCCAGGCCAGGGGCAGACTGCACCGGCTAGCATCCAGGAGTCCGAGGATAGGTTCCTTGGAGGGGTTCGCAACCCATTGAAAAGACAAGGGTGGTGTCAAAGGACTTCAGGATCCACAGATGCTGGGCTTGTGAGTGGGGATGGGCCAAGGCCCTTCTCCCCTTTGTTTTTTGTTATTAATCTTCTTTTTTGTTGGTAGCCCAGAGGGACCCCCGAGAAAGGTCAGGGCCCAGGGCAGCACTCACAGATTAAGGACTGTCAAGGCATGCGCTACAAGCTGCAGCACCATTAAGGAAGGTACTAAAGAATATCGGGGATGGCCTAACACCCTGAAGAGGTCCATAGTTGGGTAAGGGCACCAAGGGCCCTGTAGGCAAGGAAAAGTGTGGGAATTAACAGCAGAGGGCTAACCAGCAGGTCACCAAGTGACCATCCTGAAGGCTGGCGCATGGCTGGTATGTAGGGGAGATGGAGGCCCAAAGACACCTGTTAGGGAGCATGACTGACCCACAGGGAACCACAGAAGGGAGCCCCACCTCTGAAAGAAACATCAAAGTCGTGGCAGGAGAGTTTCAGCATTTCCTTCGGGGAGAACATGATTCCCCGCTGAGATAGCAAGCATCACACCCAATCCCAGGCACACACTCCAAGGTAGTTAGGGAGTGCCTTCTCAAGACCAGGTAGGCACACAAAGTACAAATAAACAAAGGTGTAAAAACAAACAAGATTATTTGAGTCTACCAGAAGCCGGGAACTTTAAAAGCATGAGTGACTATGCTGTATCCAAATAACAGGAACAATTATGGAAAATAATGGCAACTATTCAGGTTAGGGACAACTTTAGGGAAGAGGTTAGTAACCTTTTCAGGCTATGGGCCAGATTGACCCAGTTTGGATTGGAGGTGGGTCAGCGCATGGCAGGTGGATGCTAGAACCCACCCACTGCAGCCCCTCAGTGGCATGGCAAGAGTATCTGCAGCTTTTTCCCATCAGTGGCATGGGGACAGTGTCAGCAGCCAGTGCTCATTTCCACAGCAGCAGGGGAAAGCAACTGTTGCCAAAGTCCCCTGCCACTGGGGGAAAGCACTGGCTGCAGATGCTTTCCCTGTGCTGCCATGAAAAAGCGGTATCAATGGCATCTGGGTCCTAGCATCTTCCCTCTTTGTGCCTGCCTACCTGCTTTTGACCCAAACTGGGCCAAAACAGCTGTTGAAACCTCAAGTCCGTAGGCCAGATCAAATGTCTGGCTCCAGCCTGCAGTCCATAGGTTTGTCAATTCCTGCTTTAGGAACTTCAGAGACCTAAACAAGCTAAATCAGAGGGCAAATAATTACAAGTGAAATTTAGTATCAGTAAAGGAAAAGTAATACACATAGGAGGGGAAACTTAAACTACTCATGTGCCTTGCTATGTCAACCGAGCAGAAGGAACCTGGCCATCTCTATAGACAGCTTAATGAAGACCTCTGTTCAATGTGCAGACTTAACCAGAAAAGTAAATATGCTAGGATTCATGAAGAAGGAAAACTAATACAGAGAATATAACACCTTTATTTTAAATCAATGGTGTGGAAACATGTAGAATATTCTGCATAGTAGTGATTAGCATACCCTCTAAGCTGCGCATGTGTGCAGCAGCACACAATAAAAAATCATGCCATGCAATAACTTTTTAACGCTGCACAGACAGTAGTGTACGAATGGAGGGACGGTAGGTGGCCATGGCCCCTGGGTGTCAGCCTGGGCGTGGGACGCCCAGTGCAGTAGCAAGGGGGTGCCAATGCTTCCCTTGCTGTTGCCACTGGCCTTGCATCCGGCTGCTTGCCACCTGCCCCAAACGGCAACAAGCTGCTGCAGGAGGGGGGAGGGACGGGCACACTGAGATACCTGCGTACTCCCAACCAGGAGTACCACTAAACCTTAGAGGGAACATTGGTAGTGATCAGCCAATCTCAGATAAGACATGGCTGAACTGAAAAAGTTCAGAAAAGGGCAATTGGATGCAGAAGAGTCCCATATGAAGGGGAAATTAAAAGGACAGGCTGTTTAACTTAGAAGACAGGTAGGAGAGAACACAATAAAAGCATGTAAATAGTGAATGCTCAGCATTAAATACCTGAATCTTCTGTTCTCCTGAGTAACAAGGGGTCATTTAATGAGACTAGAAAGATACTCAAACCGTCCAAGATGGAATAGGTGTTCACACTGGACGTATCTACACATGCTATTAAGGTGATGTGATAAGCTCTGGCACACTTTATGCCAGAGTCAGCTGCTCCTGGGTGCAGTGACTTCACATGCGCCCAGGACCGCAGCATGCTGAGCCTGGGCAGAGCAGCCCCAGGCTGGCATGGGACCCGGGGGGAGGTTGTGACAGGTGGCAGAGGGGCTGGCTGGGGCACAAGAGTGACCCAGTGTACAGAGCCCTGTGGTTAGGCAGCAAACAGGGGTTTGGCCCCTTGCTGCCTGGGCTGACTGGGCACATTGTACACTCGGCTCAATGTTTAAACAATTATTTCACCACAGGTAAGTACTCCACCATAAGATACTGCTGTCCCCACCAGTATTATTTTACAGCAGATTGAATTCATCTAATGTGCCCTAATATGGGCATTTGTGCAGACAGTGATGCTTTACTAAGGAACTAATTAGGCAACACTGTAGTAAAGCACACATGTAGATGCGCCCACTGTGTATAATTAAATGTGGACCTTGCTGCTACAAGAAGTTGTTCAGGCCAAGAATTTAGCAAGATTCCTGAAAGTTAGATATCATCAATATCCAGAGTTACCATACACAATAATGATGAGAAATGTGTGGAAGGGCTAATTAAGCCTCATGGAGCCTGGCTTTAAGGCAGTTTTAATCTAACAGAGGTCAGGGTGGAACCTAATCTTGAGAAATGAAATGGTTATCGCACATCTGCCTTCTGCAGGAGTCTTGCACTTTCTTCTGAAACTTAGTGCTGGCTCTTGGCAGAGAAGCAGACTGAACAATATGGACCTGTGGTTTGATGCTGCAGTATGGAAATATCTGTGTTGACATTGTTATTCCTCTGTGCTGTTCCTTGGCTTGCTTAAGGGAAGAAACATGGCAATGGTTAATTCAAAACACCCCTGCATAAGGACCAAGTTCTGCTTGTTGCCTTCACCAGTGTGTGTTGCAGACAAGGAGCTAAGAACCTTCCATCTCACTTATATCCCAGGGTCTCAGAAATCTCCCCTTTCCTACTTTACAGGAGGTACATGATGCCACATGGTGGTCAGGGAGAAAGCAGTGCTGTGGTCTTGCTCTTTGAATCAGTTGTAGGTGTAAATTGCACCTCATAAATGCTGTAGTGCAGTCTCTGGGGTGCTCAGCCCCCCTCTAAGCTGAATGTACAGGCATGATCTCAGCTGTTGGAAGTAAGTTGTACATAGGCAAAAGGCAAGTTTTCAAAGATGAATTCTGTTATTATAACAACATACTTCAGGAGAAATTATGAAGTTTGACACAGTTGGTATCCTGCTGAGAACAGCATGAGACTATTATTCTGTAATGCAGTATTTCATCTACTGCCTTTTGAAATTCAGTTTGCATCGGTTCATATTGGGAAGAATATACAATATGAAATGAGGTATAACAATAAATGCTAATGCAATCAATGTCTGCATGTTTTTCTGTTTGAAATGGACAGAGCAGATTTGCCAAATATCAATACAGGGCAATTTTCTCTGGATAAGGACAGATTGTTTGTGTTTAACATCTATATGTGATGATAATTAATTAGGAGTCATTTGTTTAAGTCAGCAGCCCTTATCTCTTTATAGCTCTGATTCACATGCAGCCTAGATTTCTATAGGTCAAAATTTGTTGCCATCTGATGCCAATTTTTTGGTTTACTGGACATGAAATTAGCTAGTCTCTGATGAATTCTTCACTGATAGATGTCCAGATTGTTGAAATCCTTGGAGTTTCTCTAAATTTACACTTGAGTAAATTTAAAATACTGTTGGAACCAGCCTAGTAACAGTAACTAGTAGCAGTAACAATGATTTGTTAATGTGCTTTTGAATGAAGAACTATAAGTTTAACTGAATTGCTATTTGGTAAACAATGTAATTTAAAACCTCATTAATATACAGTAATTTCACTAGACTCTCCTGTTCAGCAGCCTTCACAGTCAACCACACATACTGCATTCATTCTGTTTCTTTAACTAGAAGAAACAAAGAATCAACCCAGCATCTGCAATCTTTGTTTCAGGGGTCTCTTTTTATCATTTGCATATAACAGGCAAATATTGCCCTAATAATAATAATGCCAGTAGTACCCTACTGAATTAATTGCAGATTCAAAGGAGATGCATCAAGTTAGACTCCATGACTATTTATGAGTAAGCCAAAGTCATGCCCAGCATAATAAATGAAAGTTAATGAAATTACAGCAGGGATTGATTTGGGTCCAAACCTCTAAATACAGAAATGGTCACGAGTATTAGTGAGAGTAGGAATGATGTAATTAAATAGTGAATTAAAGGTTTTCTCTTACCCCTCCCCAGCATAACAAGCAATGGCAAGAACACTAGGAATAAAAATAAAAATAGTAAAAAATATGTAAATATCTTTTAAAAAATATTTTTACTTGAAATTATTGCTATAGTGGTGGTTCTCCTACAAAGGCTAAACAGTACCTGCTCAGCTTTACTGCTAATAAACGCATAAGAGAAAACTTGGAACTACAAACCCATTATCTGGTGATCAGCCTTTAAAAGTAATTTAAAGTGATACATGCTCACCACACAATAGTGCATAGCATACAAGAATCTTTCAGTGTAACTGCCTGTCTCTGGGGTAGAGACTTTCCTCCGGCAAAAGTCTGGTTGGTATCATAGGATGAGGTAGACTATGGATCAGGGAGTTGGTTCCAGCTTTCTGATTGCGAGGGCCAGCCTCACTGCTTTTGTGGGACACCTTTAAATTTACACTACTGATGTAAAGTCTTCAATGTATTCTGTGCCTGTGGAGAATTGATATGGGAATGTAGACCAGCAACCCCCTGGCAAATGTCCCAAATATTCAAAAATGGGGTCTGCAAAAGCTCAAAGTCCAGTTGCACCAAAGCACTGCATTAATTCACCAGTAGGAATCTCTGAGCTAGGGGAATTCTCGGTAAATGATTTGTGGTTTGATTTTACCATTTGAGTGTCATCTGCTTTTCCTGAGTAATTCAAAGGGGGTGCTAGCATACTTGAGAATCGGTTCCTTTATATCAAAATAGAGGACCATTCCCTGTTAATGCATAACATTTGCCATTTACATTAATAAAGCATTTGGCTCATGGTCTGGTACAGATTATAGGACATCTGAAATTTCAGAATGCACAATAATAATATCAATATTTAGAATTTATCTTCTATTGTACTTGAAATCCTCAGCAAAGTCAATAGTTGCTTGAACTAATTATTTTTTGTAAGACATATTCAGCTTCTCTGTATGAATAGTATGTGAAATAAATATTCAGAGTTAGTATGTACTGATTAAGCCTTTTGATTGCCACTGCTTTTTCATATTTCTGACAAATATCATGACATGACTTGAAAATTACTGCCTTGGGTGGCTTCTGATTGTTATTTACAGACATCTTTTTAGTCTTTCAAAGTCTTTTCTTTTTTCCTAAATGTGTTTGATGTCATGTTTTATAATCTCTCACAGATTTCATGTTGTGAAAGTGTGTATGTAATGGACATGTGCTAAATTGATCTTCAAGTAGCTCTAATAAAAATATATCAGATGAGATTTTCAATTGCACCTAGATCATTTGGGCTCACAATTCCCATTGATATTTACACCCCTGAGAATTCTAGCTCTCATTAGAAATCTGTTCAGATGCCTCAGGTAGTAGGACTAAGAGGTAAAATTTACTATAAATTGTAATATAACTTTCTTCACTTACAGAAAACTCAAAAATACCATATTTGTTTTCCCTTCCTTATAATGGTCCAGTATGAATGGTGTTGATGGTGTCACAACTCACCAAGCATATTTTTGAGCATTTCTCATTTTATTACTTGTGAGGAATTTTAGAAATCTCTCCACTACATATTTACCTTACCTCTACTCCAGTGGACTTTCTCAGTGGCTGGTAAAACCCACATAACACCCTGCCACAATCTTATATAAAGAGATTCTGGGGGTTTTACATCTTCAGAGGAGTTGAAAGATAAAAGTGATTTGTAGATTTCTTAGGTAAATTACCAGTATATGATCCATAGCTGTTCTTTTTTGCTCCTTAAGATATTTAGTACACAATATTTAAATTAATGTACCTTTTCATAATATTCTTACTGCATTTTCTGAAAGAAATATCCTTCATTACTAAATACCTTTATTTTACATTAAAGATTATCATGAGAGCAAAGCATGAAATTGGAATCTAGTTTAAATATCAGTGCTCATTTTGGTATGACATTTAGTCTAGGCTTATTGGGTAAGTGGTTGAATAGACCTCTGTGGCAAAGTTTTGGTCATATTTCAAATTATCTTAGTTGCCCCTTTATTAAATGGATTATTAAAGTAAATATTTATTTTATTCTAAAAGTAACTCATTTAGAGTTTCTTAAGTAGAATACTACTTAAGTGATTTTGCTTAACTAAGTTTATCTTGGCCTTGAGTCAAAGTCATAAAAACACAGACGTGTAATTATCCTCCCTTATTTCTCATCCCTTCCTCCCATATATTAGGTCTTCAGTGCTCTAGTTCTAGAGTCCAGCACTCCTTTAATCTCTATTATGTTTATATTGGCAAAAATGGGACCATAATTTATCACTAGTACAGCTCCCTTATGAGTAGCAATATTAAGAGCTGTAGTATAGATGGGGCTTAACCTTTTTATTTCTCAGCTGACAAGAGCTATGGACAGGGTTGCATGATGAAATAATAAAATGCTTGAGACCCAAATTCATTCCCACTACCTGCTATGGAGCAACATTAGTGTAATATTGGGCTCA